ACAAAGAAGTAAAAGCAGCAAATAAATACATGAAAAAATGTTCAACATCACTGGTCATTCGAAAGATGGAGATGAAAACAACATTGAGTTTCCACCTCACCCCACAAAGAATGGCTGCTATCAAGAAATCAATCAATAACAAATGCTGGCGGGGGTGTGGAGAGGAAGGAACCCTTCTCCATTGATGGTGGGAGTGCAGACTGGTGCAAGCACTGTGGAAATCAGTATGGAGATTCCTCAAAGAACTAGGGCTAGAGGTCCCAATTGACCCAGCTATTCCCCTGGTGGGTATCTTCCCAAAAGAATTAAAAGAATCATACCACAGCGATATATGTACACCCATGTTTATAGCAGCACAGTTTGTAATAGCTAAAGCTTGGAAGCAGCCCAAGTGTGTGTGTATGTGTGTGTGTGTGTGTGTAGTGATTGGCATTGAACCCTCACGCAAGTGATTTTTCACATTTCCAGGAAACATTTTTTTGAATGTAAATACTCAAATACTCCACGGAACCTCAATTCATTGTGCACAGGACCAAGTCTAGAACTCAGATCTCTTTATACTTAAACTCTGGCATTCTTACTTCTATTTCCCCTGGCTTTTAGTTCATTAATTTGCAGTGTTCATTTAAAGTCCTGACCTCTTTGTCCCACTGTACATGTTACACCTTTTCTTAGCATAATAAATCTAGAGGTTTAAAATTTCTTTGGAAACCATACTTTCATTTGTTAACTGAGATGAAGGCACATGGTAAGTGTCTATTGTTTATTTGTTAATAATGCTTTACTGAATTCAGAAAGAAATTGAGGCGCAGAAGGCACAGACTTCTATTTAGATGTTTGTTTTAACTGGATTTTCTCTTCTTTTTTCTTTCTCTTCTCCTCACTTGCTCTTATGTTTTCTGCAAAGCTCTAAGTCTGCGAGGCAGGTTCAGGGGGTTCTTATTTGATAGATACCCACCAAGCATTCACCTGGCCTGAAGAGACAGACACATCTGTACACCTGACCCTCAATGAAGGACTCAGAAAATGGAGTGAATGGAGCGTTCAGGAAATCTCTGAGTGAAGGCTGATTCTACAGATATTTACATGGACTACATCTGGGAGCACTGGTTTCCCATCTGGAAACTCAACATTTTATACTGGGATATCTAGGAGAACAAAGGAGAGAAATCGGGCTGGAGACTTTCCTGGCTCATTCTGATCAGGAGACAAGGAGAGATGCCAAAGCCTGGCTAAGCATATATGGATTTCACAGTTGTTAAGTGTTAGAGTGAGCTGTCTTTGGCCCTTATACGCCCAATCCAGATTCTTCCCCTCTCCTCTGGCCACTCCTCAGCTTCTCTGATTTCTTTTTCCCCCTGCTTCTCTTGAACTGCTCTTCTTAGAGTGCACTGTTCTCCACTCTGTTTTCCAAATTCCTTCTCTAATACCTCATCCACTCCCATGGCTTCCATTGTCACCTGCATGTTGTTATCTCTCAAATCTGAACCCTTCTCCTAAGACCAATCTTAATTGATTATTGGACATTGTAAATGAGTTTTCCACTCAAATAAGACATAGAGTCTCAAACTCTTGACCAGTTTCCTCTGGTGCTTCCTATCTTAATAAATGACACCAGGATGCACCCAGTCTCCTAAGGTAGAAATCTAGGACCTTATCTTTTTTGTAACCCTCCTCAATTGGCACTCAATATTGTTGATCCATCACAGCTTCCCAAAATCAGTTAAACCCAGCACTTTGACTTTGTCCTCACCTGTTTCTTCCATTCTTCACTCCCATTCATTCCCACCTGAAACTATTGCCATAGCTCCTAACCATTGTGTGATCTTCACACCATTGTACTGTAAGTGTATCCCTTAACCTCTGTGTGTTATTTTCTCATCTAAAACAGGAAAGTCTTCAACCACATCTCTGAGATCTCTCTCACTCCCCAGTTCTGTAATTTGCCAGCTTGTGTATACAAGCATCACAGGCTGCAAATTGAAAAACTAAGCTTTTTGTTCCTTCACTCATTCCTCACCATACAATATATTTTCTTTATTCCTCCTCCACTTTGCTAAAAGAGCATTTGATTGAGATGTAGCAGCTCTACAACCCAAACCTTTAGCCAGGATATGATTTTCCCAGACATTGCTAAAGAGATAATTCCATGCCCTTTCCTTCTACTGTCACACTAGGGAAGGGAGTTTCCTGGAGCCAAGGCTTAAACAGGGTGGCTGTTGTTTTCCTCTTTATCATCACTTTTATTGTCTGGAGGATGCTGTTCCACAGCTCTGCAGATGCAGATGCACAGATGGAAAGTCTTAAGACATCTATTCCTTCTGCAAATTAATTATAGGACAAATACCAACTTTTTGTCCCCATTCCACCCCAACCACTGTCTGTTCTATCACCAGGACACCAGACTTAGTGAGGTGGTTTGTAAGGCTGGGTTTTCCCTAAAGCCAGGCCTTCACTGGACTTGACTTACAAGCTTCACTAAAGGGGATCAAGGGGCAAGGTGAGCTGGTCCACCTGCTGTGAGATATTGACCTGTGAGCTCACCTTGGGTCTCTCTAAATTTAAGGAGTTGGCATCCTTGTCTGTGGTTTCACACTAACTAGGAGAAAGAGAAGACTTTTAATTTCTATTCTCCAGAATATGGAGTTGTATTGTTCCTCATATTTTATATGAAGTGGGCAGTTTGTCTTCCATAACTCCAACCTCTTTTCTCTGTCCTACAATGATTCTAGAGACATGCCTTTTCCCCCTTTTCATATAACCTCTCTACCTTTCTCTCTACCCTTTCCTGGAGTCTAGAGAAGGCAGAAAGAAATGCATATCCAGCCCAAGACTCTGTGCTTACTAAAATTGATGGTAAAAAGTTGGCAAGACTGTTCAAGAGATATTAAGTCACCTCTAAACTTTATAAATTAGTATAGATGGAGCTGGAATTTGAAGTTATCTATATCCTCCTCAGCCCTACCCCCGCCATTTTATAGGTTATGGAAAATAAGGTTTTGAGCAAATTAGTGGTGTGGTCTGGACTCCCAATCCTGTGTACTTTCCATTGCTATTTGCTTCCTAATTGCATGCGGATTTCCTTATTCTCCAGAGCCAAGTAGCATCAACATTTGGCATTAGAAATGCTGTGGAATCCTGAATAAATAAGAGTGTACACAAGTACCATTCAAGGTCTCTTATTTCTAAACCCAGATGAAATGCTTGCCCTAAACCCTGGGCTCCAGACTGTTTCAGTGCTTTCTAACCTCTCTGTTATAAGCATGGAATGAAATATTAGACTATCAGGCATATCCCATCCCACTTAGTTCTGTTGCTGACTCTTCAAAGATAGGAGGAGTTTTGTTTATGTACACAGCACAGAAAGAGTCCTAAATTTTTGTTAGTAGGGTTTGTTTTGGAGCTGGCAAGTGTGGAAGAGGATTCAACCTGAGTGGTTTCATGGAGGATAGTGATTTCCTCACCCAGAATCACTGTTGTCTTAGAGTCAACCATTAGAATTCCCTTAAGATAAAATATCGGGATATATACTAGGTTAGGAGTCATAATAACTAGTTTCCAAGCCTAGTTCTGCTACTGTAACTTATGACCTCATGTCTATGATCACTTAATTAGGAAAGAAATTAATCATTGAAGTAATGTTTTTGGTTCTATTCTAGGTGCTGAATATGCAGTGTGGAATAATGGAGTATTCCTATTTTCGTAGATTTTACATGATCGTGAAGAAAGCAAAAACTGACACATACTTATGTAATAATGATATCAAGGTTATGAAGCAAAAAAAATTGAATAAGGCAGTGGAGAATATACGACAAGAGGCAAGAGGATGTGTTGTGTTGGGGTGTGGGGTGGGGCTTTGAAATAGGTCTCCTAAGAATTTTTTAACCCTTCCTTTGAAAGGTGGATCCCAATTCCTCTCTCTTGGAATGTGGGCTGGATTCAGTTACTTCCTCTACCAAATAAAGTAAAGTAGAGGTTGTGGTGCATGGTGTCAGAGGCTGGAAAGTTACTGCGTCTTCTTCCTGGTTTTCTGGGATTGTTTATTCCATAGAAAGAAGCCATCTGAGAAGCTGACTCCCTGCCCCAGTCAAGCCTTCAGATGACTGTAGCCCCTGGCAATATCTTGGGGGCAATGGAAGGAGACACCCTGAACCAATCCACACAGAGAAGCTGACCCTGGATTCCTGAGCTGGAGAGGCTGTAAGTCAATATATATTTCTTATTTATAGCCATGCCTTTTGGACAAAATTTGTTAAATAACAGATAAACTAATGCATGTGTTTAGGGAAGCTTTTGGAGAGAGGGTAATTCTTAAGCAGAAATTGAAATCAAAAGAGGAAATGAGTAAGGTTAAGATACATGTGAAGACTGCTTGAAGGACAGATAATAGAAGTAGCAGAATACTGTGATAAGAATAAGCTGGAATTTTCAAGGAAAATTGCCCAAGATTTGGAAATGAACAAGACTAAGTATTCTTTTAGCTGAGAGCTGGCCATTGTATCCCCTGGGGATTACCTTGTGAACTATAGATGTTCCCATTTGAATTTCTATTATATAAGTTATTTTATACCTGTGTAGAGGTAGAATTCAACTTGTAAAAAACTGATGGTAAGCAGGGAGTGTGGACATACCCTATAATTGCAGCATTCTAGGAAGCTGAGGCAGGAAGATAGCAAATTCAAGCCTAGCCTGAACAATTTAGTGACATAGTAATGTCTCATAATGAAAGCAAAAAAAAAGAAAAAGGGGGATGAAGATATAGCTCAGTATGAAGGCCCTGGGTTCAATCCTCAGTACTGAAGAAAAAAAAAAAGGAAAGATAACTATGGCAACGCAAATTATCTTTCCCAAAGAAGTAGAATGAATACTGTCTTACGGTGATATGACTGAATTTTGCCTTGTAGAAAAGATAGCCCCAAACAATATTTTAAGAAGATTTATTGAAAAACAATTTTTATATTATACATTCACCCATTTAAAAATTTACAAATGACTGTCTTTCAGAATATTCTTAGGATTGTGCAAATGGCATCATAATCTAATTTTAGAGCAATTTTGTTTCCTCTCAAAGCCAAGAAACGCTGTATCTATTTTACGGTTTGTATTTAGATGTTCCCCCCAAAGCCTCATGTACTCATAGGTGGGGGTTTTTGGAGCTGGCTGGATCTAGGACACTAGGATTAAGAATGTGTGGTTGTGCTGGGCTGGGGATTTAGCTCGGTGCTGCCGCCTGCCTGGCAAGCACAAGGTCCTGAGTTTGATCGCCGCAACAACAACAAAAAAAGTCAAACTCACTGTGCTTAAGAGTTTTCAGCAAGAGGAGATCTACTACTTATCTCACTCAAAGGCCATCCTGTGGATGGGTGGGCAGGCGGTCTGCACTGGGTGTGGGGCCAGTGCCTGCGGCCATGGGAAATCTAGGTATCAAAATTGACTCCAGAGGAGAGAACCTCACAGACCATTAGCAATGGAAGAAATTGAGAAAGTTACCAGAAACCTGTCATTCCCTACAATGCAAGGCTCAGCTGATGTCACAGGTTAAAAAACCATTCATGAACAAGAGAGATCAGAAGCAACATGATGGATTCAGAAGCTCATGAACAGAGGCCACCAATCCTAACATCTTCAAAACAAGACATATCACCTCACATTACCAGAGTTGGAGAAATGAAGCATTATTTGTATGGCTGCTGTGCAGCGTTCAGCAATATAGCAATCACATTTCCAGTTCAGAAGTTCCTCTTTTAGCAGCAGTTTTATGGAATCAAAACCCGGGATGCAGTACTTCAGTTGAGGAGGGATGGATTTTGAAACTTGTATCGTGGAATCATTCTCCCATTAATGCAGAAAACAACTACCCTGGTACTTATGTTTGGTGTGTACGAGGATTTGTCTTGCCTTCTCCATAAGCACATCAGCGCTTCAGAGTTTGCAACCTGTGGTGCAGCTGCAATACTTGCAGGGACAACAGAAGCCATTTTCACTCCATTGGCCTTGCCATGAACTGTTTCTCCTCTATGATGCCCCTCTTCCACACCACCCTGCCTTGGAGCCAGCTGATTATGGACTGAAACCTCTGTAAACTGTGAGATAAAATAAACCTTTTCTCCTTTAACTTGTGGATGATAGGTATTTTGTGTCAGCAATGAGAAAAGTAACTAAGACAGCTATCAACAGTTTCTTCCTATTTCTTTGTAGCATTTCCCAAATCAACAATTTACAGGCAAACGAGTCTATTTTCTGTCACTATAAATTTTCCTATTTTGAGAATTTCATACAAATGTAATTATATATTTTCTTTGGGGCCTGGCTTCTTTCACTTAGCATAATGTTTTCAAGGTTCATCCCTGTTGTAGAATGTACTATTTCTGTTTCATTTTTTATTTTCAGGTAATATCCAATTTGTGGATATGCATTGGATGGGTGTCCATCAATTGATGGATAGTTTCATTAATTCTTCTTTTTGAATGTTCTGAGTTATGTGTCTGTGAACATATAAGTTTTTGTGTGGATGTATGTTTTACCTCTTTGGCATTTATGTAGGAATATAATTGCTGGGTCATATGGTAAGACCATGTGTAATACTTTTAGGAACTATAAATGGTTTTCCTAAGTGACTACAGCATTTTATATTCCCTTTGGCAGTATATGAGGATTCTAATTTCTACAGTTGTCATCACCCATCATTGATTATAGCCATTTTAGTGGACGTGAGGTGACATCTTGGTGTGGTTTAGATTTGCATTTTCTTAGTGATGAATGATGCTGAGAATTCCTGCATACACTTACTGGCTGTTTTTATGTCTTTCTTGGAGCAGTGTCTATTTAAATTAATTGTCAATTAAAATGTTTCTTTTTATTGAATTTTAAGAATTCTTTATATATTCTGAATAGAAGTATCTTATCAAAGATATGACTTAAAACTATTTTCGCATTAGGAGGCACTTTTTTTTACTTTCTGGATAATACTATTTGAGAAAAAAAGTTTTCAATTTTAAATCCAATTTATATATTTTTTCTTTTGTTACTTATGCTTTTGACGTTGTATCAAAGAAACCACTACTTAACACAAAGCCATGAAGATTGATTCCTATGTTTTCTTCTAAGAGCTTTAGTGGTTTTAATTCTTACAATTAGGATTAATTTTCTTTTTAAATTAATGTTTATGCATGTAGTGTGGTAAAGGTCCAAATCATTCTTTTGGATGTGGATATTCACTTGCTTTTACACCAAAAAGACTTTTCTTTCTCCATTTAATTATTGTATCCATTTGAATTGGACATAAATGTGTGGGTTTATTTATGGAGTTTCAATTCTATTTTGCTGACCTATGTCAATCTTTGTTTGAGTACCACACTTGACCACTGTAGTTTGTAGTAAGTTTTGAAATTTGAAAATATGAGTTATCAGGCTTTATTCTTAGTTTTCAAGATTGCTTTAGCTTTTTGGGTCTTTTACATTTCTATATAAATTTAAGGATCAGCATTTCAATTTCTGCCAAAAAGCAGTTAATATCTTTTTTTTTTAGTTCTTTTATTGGTACATTTTAGGTATACAATTCATTTACATTTATCATTGAGTGTTTGTACCTGTACATGATATATCTTGGTTCTTATTTTTTTCTCCCCATTACATGTGCACCCTTCACCCCCTCTGCCCTTCCCTATTTACATAGATTTCATTTCCATTCTTTTTCTTTTCTCATAAGCAGTTAATATCTTGATAGAGATAGTTTTGTATCTGCATATCAAGTTGAGAAACATAATCATTTTGCAATATTAAGTAATCTGAACATTTAGATCTTTAATTTTCCTCAATGATGTCTTGTAATTTTTGGTGCATGCCTTTGTAATAGATAATCTTGTCAATTTGATTGGATTGAGAAATGCCTAGAAAATTAGTAAAGCACACTTCTGTGTGTGTCTGTGAGAATATTTCCAGGGACAATTGGCATGTGAGAGAACAAACTGAGGGAGGACACCCATCTTGGACATGAGTGGCACTATCAAATAGGCTGGAGGCCTGGTTTGAAGGAAAGGGAAAGGAGGAAATTTGCCATCACAGCCTCTCTCTCTCTCTCTCTCTCTCTCTCTCCTTCCTGGCTGCCATGAGGAGAGCAGCTTTGTTCCACCACATCCTTCCATCATGATTTTCTGCTTCTCCAAGGTTTGGGAGCAATGGACCAGCTGACCATGAACTGAAACCTCTGAAACAATGAGCCAAAATAAATTTACTCTTTTAAAATGGTATTTTGTCACAACAACAGCAAGCTGACTAACAGAGTCTTGCACTCTTTAAATAGTTTTTTAAACTACTATTATAAACAAAGTTGATTTCTCAGTTTAATTTCAAAATTTTCACTGCTAGTATGTAAAAACATATTTATTGCATATTAATCTGGTATCCTGCAGCCTGGGTGAACTTATGCACCAATTTTAATAGTATTTGAAATGATTCCTTAGGAGTTTTTAAATATAAAATTTTGCCATCTGGGAATAGAGATAGTTTCACTTTTTCCTTTCCAATCTGGGTGCCTTTTATTTCTTTTTCTTGCCCAATTGTCTTGGCTAAACTCTCAAATGTTGAACAGATGTTGCAAGAATGGCCATTTCTGTGTTGATCTTGGTCTTACATAGGAAGTATTCATTCTCTTACCATTAAGTATGATATTAGCTTGTGAGTTTTCCATAGATTGTCTTTAACAAGTTGAGATAGCTTGTTTCTATTCCTAGATTCTTAATTATTTTTATCATGAAAAGGTATTGGGTTTTTCTCAACTTTTTTTCTATATCCATTGCAATGACTATATGGTTTGCCCTTTGTTATATATGGTATATGAGATTAAGTGGTTTTTTTGTAAACCAACCTTGCATTTCTGATGAAAACCCCCACTTGATTTGGTATGTACTCCTTTTTAAATGTTGCTTGATTTGGTTTGATAATGTTTTGTTGAACACTTTTGTTTCTTTCTATATTCATAAGGGATATAGATCTATCATTTTATATTCTTTTGACATCTTTGTATATGAAGATCCAGTAATTCTGGCCTTATATAATGAATTAAGAAGTGTTTCTTGGTCTTATATTTTTTGGAAGAGTATCTGAGAGTTAGTATTTTTTTCTTTGAATCTTTGCTAGATTTTAAATTTACTAATAAGTTGCTAATTCATTTATTTTTTGTCATTAATCTGTTAATTTTT